AGGGAGCTCGAGACAGACGCGCTTGAGAGAGCCCGCGGCCGAAGCAGCACCCAAGGGAGCTCGAAACATACGGCTTGAGAGAGCCCGCGGCCGAAGCAGCACCCAGGGGAGCTCGAAACAGACACGCTTGAGAGAGCCCGCGGCCGAAACAGCACCCAAGGGAGCTCGAAACAGACACCCTTGAGAGAGCCCGCGGCCAAAGGAGCACCCAAGAGAGCTCGAAACAGACGCGCTTGAGAGAGCCCGCGGCCGAAGCAGCACCCAAGGGAGCTCGAAACAGACGGCTTGAGAGAGCCCGCGGCCGAAGCAGCACCCAAGGGAGCTCGAAACAGACACGCTTGAGAGAGCCCGCGGCCGAAACAGCATTCAAGGGAGCTCGAAACAGACACCCTTGAGAGAGTCTGCGGCCAAAGGAGCACCCAAGGGACACAAACCAAGCCCACAGGAGAACGCAGACCGGCGCCACAGTCGCCCACCGAGCCAGCCCGAGCTCGGAGTTTCGCCCAAGTTCGGAGCCCGAGCCGGAATCAGAGCCCGAGCCGGCACCGCGCCGGAGCCCGGGGGAATGTGAATCCGGTATATCGGTAATTTTCCTTGGTTTAGCTCTCCCAGAGAGGTCTGCGCACGCTCTTGAGGATATGTTTTGTTCACTACCCTGGGAACGATCCTCTGGGGGCTCCTTCACGCCAAGAGCTCTGGAGGGGAGCTCTGGGGGAGAGCTCTGGGGGAGAGCTCTGGAGGGAGAGCTCTGGGGGAGAGCTCCGGGGGAGAGCTCTGGGGGAGAGCTCTGGGGGAGAGCTCTGGGGGAGAGCTCTGGGGGAGAGCTCTGGGGGAGAGCTCTGGGGGAGAGCTCTGGGAGAAAGCTCTGGGGGAGAGCTCTGGGGGAGAGCTCTGGGAGAGAGCTCTGGGGGAGAGCTCTTGGGGAGAGCTCTGGGGGAGCTCTGGGGGAGAGCTCCGGGGGAGAGCTCTGGGGGAGAGCTCTGGGGGAGAGCTCTGGGGGAGAGCTCTGGGAGGGAGCTCTGGGGGAGAGCTCTGGGGGAGAGCTCTGGGGGAGAGCTCTGGGGGAGAGCTCTGGGGGAGAGCTCTGGGGGAGAGCTCTGGGGGGAAGCCCTGGGGGGGAGCTCTGGGGGAGAGCTCTGGGGGGGAGCTCTGGGGAGAGCTCTGGGGGAGAGCTCTGGGGGAGAGCTCTGGGGGAGAGCTCTGGGGGAAGAGTTGAGCGGTATCCGCGAGCATCCGGCCGAGGGTTAGGGGTTATCATTGTGCAAGCGAAGCACCGCCTCGGGCCGGCAGGCCTATGGTCGCGGTGAGCTCGACTTGCAGCTCGCTCTCACTAGCAGATCCTTACAGGCGTGGCGGTGCGCGCCCCCAGGTCCGCGCCTGCAGTTTAGGGTTTAGGGTATAGGGTATAGGGTTTGGGGTTTAGGGTTTAGGGGGCTGCCGGAGGCCAAGACAGCCCGCTGCACTAAGGGGCCCTTAAGTGCAGCGGATCTGCTCCTCCTTCGGAGGGGCTCCCGGAGGCCAAGACAGCCCGCTGCATTTAAGGGGCCCTTAAGTGCAGCGGATCTGCTCCTCCTTCGGGGGGGCTCCCGGAGGCCAAGGCAGCCCGCTGTACTTCAGGGGCCCTTAAGTGCAGCGGATCTGCTCCTCCTTCGGGGGGGCTCCCGGAGGCCAAGACAGCCCGCTGCACTTAAGGGGCCCTTGAGTGCAGCGGATCTGCTCCTCTTTCGGGGGGGCTCCCGGAGGCCAAGACAGCCCGCTGCACTTAAGGGGCCCTTAAGTGCAGCAGCGGGTCTGCTCCTCCTTTGGGGGGGGGGGGCTCCCGGAGGCCAAGACAGCCCGCTGCACTTAAGGGGCCCTTAAGTGCAGCGGATCTGCTCCTCCTTCGGGGGGGCCCCCGGAGGCCAAGACAGCCCGCTGCACTTAAGGGGCCCTTAAGTGCAGCGGATCTGCTCCTCCTTCGGGGGGGCTCCCGGAGGCCAAGACAGCCCGCTGTATGTAAGGGGCCCTTGAGCCTTCAGAACACCAGATCTGCTCCCCCTTGCGGGGGCCTCCCGGGGCCCCAGACAGTCCGCCGTGCTTCAGGGGCCCTTAAGTGCCGCGGATCTGCTTCTCCCTGGGGGGGGGGCCTCCCGGAGGCCAAAACAGCCGGCTGCACTGGACCTGCTTCTCTCGCGAGGGCTTGCCGGAAGCCCACACAGCCCGCCACATTTGAAGGGCCCTTAAATGCTCCTCCCTTGCGGGGAATCCCGGAGCCCCAAACACTCCGCTGCACTTAAGGGGCCTTTAAGTGCAGCGGAGCTGCTCCCCCTTGCGAGGGCCCCCCGAAGCCCAAAACAGTCCGCTGCACTTAAGGGGCCCTTAAGTGCAGCGGATCCGCTCCCCGTTGCGAGAGCCTCCCGGGCGCGTCGGCCTGTCCTCCAGTCGGCTAGTCGGCCTGTCGGCCGGTCAGCCAGTCGGCCGGTCTGCCAATCGCCCAGCCGGGGAGTCGGCCAATCGGCCGGTCGGTGGCCAATCGACCGAGCTGTGAGGATGTCTCGAGCGGCCGCGCTCGAGTTGCGAGGACGTCTTGAGCGGCGCTGGCGGGGTCGCGAGCGGGTGCGCCCGAGTTGTGAGGACGTCTCAAGCGACAGTGACCGAGTTGTGAGGATGTCTCGAGTGGCGGCGCTTGCCGCGGAGACCCCCAGAGAGCCCAAAGCCGCCCCCCCTTCCGTTCCTCTTGCCGGCCCGCCCGGATCCAAGGGGCGGGGGGGAGGAGGGGAAGAGGGGCAGATGGAAGGGGGTACACTCTAATTCACTTCCGCCCGAAGGGTTCGTGGGAGTCCGTTTGGGACCGCTGCGGACACCTGGACCGCCCCCTCCTTCCCTTTCCCCGTCATGTACCCGAAGCCTTTTTTCAGGCTCGAGGGTTGCATTCGCGCCAGCGTGGGGAGCTCGGCGTCAATACGCAGAGCCTGCATGGCTTTGGCGCGTTCTGGACGGAGGCAGAGCGCCGGGTTGCCAGTGCTGCAGAGCGTCCACCCCGCCAGGCCTGCGCCAGATTTCCGCGGCCCCGCAGGGGACCGCCGCCCCGCAGGGAACCGCAGGGGACCGCAGGGGACCGTCCGCCGCCCCGCAGGAGACCGGCAGGAGAGATGCGGGGGAGAGGCCCGGGCCCGAAAGGGAAGCGGGTAGATTCGGGTCGGGGCACCGAAGCCCCGGGTCGGTTGGAGAAGCGCGCCTCGGCGCCCCACGTGCGTGGACGCTTCCTGATTTGCGGGAGTCGGCGGCCAATAAGAAGTTCGCCGGCCGGAGCCGGAGGGTGGCCCAGAGGCGCGCCCGGTATCCACTTACGCTACCGCGGAGACCCCCCCAATGCTTGAATGCGGCTCTGCAGATTGTCAGGACAACCCAAGAGAACCCCAGTAGGTGCCTTCTTTCGTCCCCGTCGTCGTCCTCCTCATGTCTGCTTTTGTCGTCTTCACATACCTGCATTTTCTTCGCAGTGCGAGCCCGCTGGACAGAAATGGAGCTCACCGTTCTCGTCGGGTCTAGCTTCCACGTTGCCTGTGTGAGACGCGCTCAGCATGCCAGCGGTGCCGATCCACCGGCGGCGGTCTTGAAGATCGCTCGGTTGAAGACGTTCCAGGCCGTCCACCTGCGGAACGCCCTGGAATTCGTTTGTCGGGGATGGTGTGTATGGGAGCTGTTCGCACGATTCTTGGTGTTGCGAGCAGGTCTGTCGCCCGCGCGAGAGGCCTCCAGCTTTGCGAACCCATGCTTTGTGGTCGACGGGCAGCAGTGCGACTTTGACACGTGCGTGGACCTCTCCTTTAGCTATCGAGCGACCGCCGCTCCGCCAGGCCCCTGGTAGATGCTGCAAGGGGTGCGGGAGGTGCGCCGGGGCGGAGGGGCCGGCCGCCCTTGCTCTCGAAGGGACTCCGATTCGTTTTTTTTCCCCCTCCCCCTTGGGGAGCCTCTCGTCGCCACGGCGGGACGGAGTTCGAACGAACTGGTGAATTTTGACCCGGGGGGGGGTCCCGCGCACTGTGCCTTTGTACCGCTGGTAAACAAGGGTAAGCGGACTCACGGGGCCCTCAAAGCGGAGGACCCCAGCGTACAGGCGTCGAGGCGACTGGCTCGCATGCGATCGTTGCCGCTGCGAGATCGCGTGGCGCTGGTGGTGCTGATAGCAGCCGGCCGGGACCACTCATCGAGCTGCCTGCGACGACCCCGCTCCCAAGCCCGACCGCGGCTCCCCTGCGGTCCGGATTTTTTCCCTACCTAGGCTTCTGCCTAGAGGGTTCTTACTCTGTGTGCTTAAAGGGGCCGGGCAGTGTAATGCGCCGTGGGCGGTTCCCCCAGACCCCGCCCCGCGGTTTCCCCCCTTTGCTTTGCTTTGCGTTGCTTTGCTTTGCGTTGCCTTTCTTTGCTTTGCTTTGCTTTACATTGCTTTGCTTTGCTTTGCGTTGCTTTGCTTTGCTTCGCTTTGCTTTCCGTTGCTTTGACTTGCCTTGCTTTGCGTTGCGTTGCTTTGCATTGCTTTGCTTTGCTTTGCTGTGCGTTCCTGTGCTTTGCGTTGTGTTGCTTTGCTTTGCTTCGATTTGCGTTGTTCTGCGTTGTTTTTCTTTGCTTTGCTTTGCTTTGCTGTGCTTTGCTTTGCTTTGCTCTGCTCTGTTTTGCTTTGCTTTGCTTTGCCTTGCCTTGCTTCGTTTTGCTTTGCTTTGCTTTGCTTTGCGTTGCTTTGCTGTGCTTCGCTTTGTTTTGCTTTGCTTTGCTTTGCTTTGCTTTGCTTTGCTTTGCGTTGCTCTGCGTTGCTTTGCTTTGCTTTGCTTTGGTTTGTTTTGCTTTGCTTTGCCTTGCTTCGCTTAGCTTAGCTTATGCTGCTTTCCTAGGGGCTCCAACTCCCAGGTCGGGTCGCACTGGGATACTGTTTTTTGGCCCGCCGGTGCCCTACCGCAGCAAAGGGGGCTTTCATCCCCGGGTTTCGACCATCAGATTTTCAGAGCCCTCTCACGGCAGAGGCGCGCCTCGGGCGCGATTGCGGATTCGCGGACGAGGTGCTCCGGGCCGCGGCGAGGGTCGACCTCATGCGCGTGCCGTTGGAGGTGGCCAAGAGGCTGGGCACCCTTCACGCCGGAAGCGTGATTCCACCAAAGCGGTCGTCCAGGGGTGGCCTCATCAAGAAAAACCTGGACCTCGCCTCTTGGAACGTGGGCAAATGCTCCGAGACGCTGACCCTCCTGGTGGCGGCTCTTTATGACCACGAGGGCCTCGTGCAGGCACGAGAAGTTGAGACGTTGTGCGATTGCACGTCGGCCAAGCATCTCCTCTACAACCACGTTTGGTCGGCGTTGCGGTTTTCTGGCCTGCTCGACGTGGAGGGCGCCGTCGTGGACCCCGCCAAGGATGTTCTGCCCCTTCCAAAAAAAACAAGACCCGCCCCCCTGCTCCCAGCGACGCGCCAGCGGGAGTGCCGGGGGCCAAAGGCAGGGAGCGCTGGGGGAGGAGGCGGGGGGAGAAGGAGGCGGAAGGGGGAGGGGGACCTGTCGTCGTCCGACGTTCATCGTCCGTCGTCGTCGGCTTTCGTCGATCTACTGTCCCCCTTGGACGTCTTTTCCGGGATCGATCTTCCCTCCCCGACCTCCCGTGCCATCCGTGGGGCTCGGTGGGTGCTTCGTGGTCGGTTCGGCGTGCCCTTCGTGATAATTTGTATATTGGGCGCCCATGCAGGAAGGCACGAACAGCGCCGAGATCCGGAGGCTCCTGTTCGCGGGCGATTCCTGGTCTATTACGCTGGGCAGGGTCAAGGCTGAGATCGCCAGGCTCGGCCACCCGCGCTTGGCGGAGAACTTGGGGCCAATGGAGCTGAACGCTCTTGCGTGTCAGTTCCTTCGCGTCCTCCGCAACTTCGTCTTCCCGCTGGCGCGCTCCGGTTGGCGGGACCCGTCCAAGGCGCCGGTCATGGCGGGTCGGTGGCAGAGGTTCCTCGATCGGTGCCGGCCCGCCAGGGTCTCCGTCATCTGAGGTCGCCGGGGCGCCCCTCCGGGCCTGAGTGCCGGTGCTCCGAAGGGCGGGTCGCTGGCAGGGGCGGAGTCGTCGGCGCGGAGTTCGGCGGAGAGTGGTGCAGATCCTCCCGCTCCACCTCCTCCTTGACCTCCGCTCCTGCCCCCTTCCCTCCTCCACGCGATGCGAAATCGACGTCGACGTTGGGGTGTCCGGGAGCCGAGCGCCGGACCAGGGAGGAGGAGGAGGAGGAGTGATGTCGTGGGAGAGGCAGAGGATCGAGGTTTGCCTTGTCGGGTGTTTGGGTGTTTTTTGTAACACGGTGATGGGCCCCGGGGCCGTCGCGGGCGGAGCCGGGGTGAAAACCAGCGCCGGCCGGGCCCCGGGAGGCCGAGCCTACTCCCCATCCCCGCGCGGCAGGAAGGGCGCGGGCGGGGCTGCTCCCGGCGATAGTGGTCGCCATCGCCTGTCGCTGGTCTCTGGCCGCCGCCGGGCGCCAGACCAGGAACGAGGAGGAGGGAGGGCGTGGAGGAGGACGGTCGAGGTTTGACGCGCGAGGCGTATTTATTTGTTTATTTTTTATTCATTCATTATTCAGTCATTTGTTCATTCATTTATGTATTTCGTTTATCTGTTTTGTTTATTGTTTTATTTATGAACGTATTCATCCATTCATTTACTAATTTAATCTAGTGGCCGTCGGCCTATCCCGCCACCGTGCCTGGATGGTGGGTCAGAGACCTCGTGGATAGTGGTTGGGATCTCGTGGTTGGCTTCTCTGGGGCCTCTGTGAGGCAGTTTGGGGGCCTCTTGGGGGCCGTTTTGGGCCTTCTGGGGCCTCTTTTTGGCCTTTTGGGGGCCTCGTGGGGCGTTGTGGGGGTCTCCTGGGGGCTTCTTGGGGCCTCTTTGGGGCCTCTTGGGGCCTCCTGGGGGCTTCTTGGGGCTGAGGGTTCGATTTTTCAGTCTGTGGTCCCCCTCTTGGGCCCCTCTTGGGCCTGTCTCGGGGGCCTCTTGGGCCGTCTTGGGCGGCTCTTGGACCGCCTTGGGGCCCTTTTGGGCCGTCTTGGGGCCGTCTTGGGGGCCTCTTGGGCCGTCTTGGAGCGGTCTTGGGGGCCTCTTGGGCCGTCTTGGAGCGTCGGAAAGCCGACAGGGCGAGAAGGCAAAACACATCGGAAAAAACTAATGGACATCAACGATTTTGGCCTCTTGGGGCCCTCTTTGGAGGCCTCTTGGAGGCTTCTTGGGGCGTCTTGGAAGTTTTTGTTGGCCGTCTTGGGGCCATCCTGGGCGTCTTGGGACGCTCTGTGGGCGTCTCGGGGGACTCTTGGGCCGTCTTGGGGGCTTCTTGGCGCCCTCTTGGCCCGTCTCGGGGCCCTCTTGGGGCCGAACAAGTCACGCGACCAGACGCGACAAGCCCCAGGGGAACAGCGGCAAGGACCGGGAGATTTGGAAATTTAGGCTCTGGTCCCCTTAATGATGCCTCAGGATTGAGGACTGAGGCTCAGGGGATGAGGCAGAGGACCTCAGGACTCGCCCACTCCGCGCCCAGAGGCACGGTGGCGGATGTATTAGGCTATTTGTTTATGTAATCATTATTTGATTGTTTGTATATTATTTATATTTGTATTCATATACATGCATAGCCCTTCGAGGCCGTGTTGTGGTTCAGGGTGACAACCAGCACCCGGCTGGATTTCGGAGAGCGAAAGGGAATCCTGGGTGCAGTTCTCGGAGGTTTTCGGTGGTGTGTTGGGGGTATCCGTTCAGGGGAGCGGGGGAAGGCCTTTTCGGCGACGACGACGACGACGACGGCGGCGGTGAGCGGGTCGGGCAGCCAAAACGGTCCGCTGCACTTAAGAGGGTTTTAAGTGCAGCGGATGGGGAGGAGGAGGATGTCGTGGAAGTGGACGAGGATGTAGGTTTGATTTGCTTGGTATTTCGTAGCTTTTCTTGCCTTTGAAAGCCGGTGATAGGGGGGAGCCCTGTCCAGGGGGGAGGCGCCCTGTCCAGGGCCCACGGTGCACGCGTGCTAGTCCGACCATGTTCCGCACTTCAATGTCCCGCCCGATGCGACCCGACCCGCCTGTTACGGCTCATACGTGCTAGGCCCATCATGCTCCACACTTTAATGTCCCGCCCGACCCCACCCGACTCGCCCGGCCGCCCTTAGGGGTTCACGCGTGCTCGTCCAACTGTGCTCCACACTTTAATGTCCCGCCTGGACCGACCCGACCCGCCCGTTAGGGTTCACACGCGCTAGTCCGACCATGCTCCACACTTCAATGCCCCGCCCGACCCGAACCGACCCGCCCGCCCGCCCGTTAAGTTTCACACGTGCTCGTCCGACCATGCGCTCTATTTTAATGCCCCGCCCGACCCGACCCGACCCGCCCGCCAGGGTTCACGCGTGAAAGTCCGACCACGCTCCAAAGTTTAATGCCCCCCCGGCCCGACCCGACCCGCCCGTTAGGGTTCCCACGTGCTAGTCCGACGATGCTCCACACTTTAATGTCCCGATCCGGCCCGCCCGGTAGGGTTCACACGTGCTAGGCCCACCATGCTCCACACTTTAGGGTTCCGCCAGACCCGACCCGACCCGCCCGTTTGGGTTCGCACGTGCTAGTCCGACCGTGCTCAACACTTTTACTGTCCCGCCCGACCCGACCCGACCCGCCCGTTAGGGTTCACACGCGCTAGTCCGACCATGCTCCACACTTTAATGTCCCGCCCGGCCCGACCCGACCCGCCCGTTAGGTTTCACACGTGCTAATCCGGCCATGCCCCACACTTTAATGTTCGGCCCGACCCGACCCGACCCGACCCGCCGGTTGGGGCTCACACGTGCTAGTCCGACCGTGCTCCGCACTTTAATGCCCCGCCCGACCCGACCCGACCCGCCCGCCAGAGTTCACACGTGCAAGGCCGACCGTGTTCCACACTTAAATGCCCCGCCCGACCCGACCCCGCCCGCCCGCCCGCCCGTAAGGGTTCACACGTGCTAGGCCGGCCCCGATCTTCTCTTTAATGTCCGGGCCGACCCGACCCGACCCGCCCGCTAAGGTTCCCACGTGCTGGTCAGGCCATGCTCCACACTTTAATGTCCCGCCTGGCCCGACCCGACCCGCCCGTCAGGGCTCCCACGTGCTAGCCCGACGATGCTCCACACTTTAATGTCCCGCCCGACCCGACCCGCCCCGCCCGTTGCGGTTCACATGTGCTAGGGCCACCATGCGCCACACTTTAGTGTCCCGCCAGACCCGACCCGCCCCGCCCGTTAGGGTTCACGCGTGCTAGTTTGACCATGCTCCACATTTTCACTGCGCCGCCCGACCCGCCTCGACCCGCCTGTAAGGGTTCACACGACCTAGTCCGACCATGCTCCACACTTTAATGTCCCGCCCGACTCGACCCGACCCGCCCGCTAGGGTTCCACGTGCTAGTCCGTCCATGCTCCACACTTTAATGTCCCGCCCGGGCCGACCCGACCCGCCCGTTAGGGTTCCCATGTGCTAGTTCGGCGATGCTCCGCACTTTAATGTCCCGCCCGACCCGACCCGACCCGCCCGTTGGGGTTCACACGTGCTAGGGCCACCATGCTCCACACTTTAATGTCCCGCCAGACCCGACCCGACCCGCCCGTTAGGGTTCACGCGTGCTAGTTTGACCATCCTCCGCACTTTTACTGTCCCGCCCGACCCGTCCCGACCCGCCCGTAGGGTTCACACGTGCTAGTCCGACCATGGTCCTTACTTAAATGTCCCGGCCGACCCGACCCGACCCGCCCGTTAGGGCTCACACGTGCTAGTCCGACCATGCTCCACACTTTAATACCCGGCCCGGCCCGACCCGCTCGTTAGGGTCCACCCGTGCTAGTCCGACAATGCTTCACACTTTAATGCCCCGCCCGGCCCGACCCGACCCGCCCGTTTGGTTTCACACGTGCTAGTCCGACCATACTCCACACTGCAATGTCCCGCCCGACCCGTCCCGACTTGCCCGTTAGGGGTCGCACGTGCTTGTCCGACCATGCTCCGCACTTTAATGTCCCGCCCGGCCCGACCCGACCTGCCCGTTAGGGCTCACGCGTGCTGGTCCGACCATTCCCCGCACTGTAATACCCCGCCCGACCCGACCCGACCCGCCCGTTAGGGCTCACACGTGCTAGCCCGACCCGTCCCGACTTGCCCGTTACGGGTTACACGTGCTAATCCGACCATGCCCCACATTTTAATGTCCTGCCCGGCCCGACCCGGCCCTCCTGTGAGGGTTCACACGTGCTAAGCCGGCCATGCTCCACACTTTAATGTCCCGCCCGACCCGACCCGACCCGCCCGTTGGAGTTCACGCGTGCTAGTCCGACCATGCTCCGCACTTTAATGTCCCGCCCGGCCCGGCCCGACCTGCCCGTTAGGGCTCACGCGTGCTGCTCCGACCATTCCCCGCACTGTAATACCCCGCCCGACCCGACCCGACCCGCCCGTTAGGGCTCACACGTGCTAGCCCGACCATGCTTCACACTTTAATGTCCCGCCTGGCCCGTGCCGACCCGCCCGTTAGGATTCACACGTGATAGTCCAACCATGTTTCACATTTTAATATCCCGCCCGGCCAGACCCGATGGCATCCCGCCCGTTAATGTACTCGCGTGCCAGTTCGACGATGCATCATACTTTAATGTCCCGCCCGGCCCGGCCCGACTTGACCCGCCCGTTAGGGTCCGCCGCTGCCGCCGTCGTCGTAGAGCTTCCCCAACACATCAAAAGCCCGAGGTAGCACAGCCTGGGAGCAGCCCCCATCCCGACGGGCATCCGACCAGGAACCGGGGCAAGAGGAGACGGGAGGAGGAGGGTGGAGGGAGGAGGAGGGGGAGGAGGAACAGGAGGAGGAGGAGGTGAGAGCGCAGGCGGTGGAGGAGGGAGGAGGAGGAGGAGGAGGGATGCTGCCGTGGAGCGGGTTTCGAGGCTCGACCCGCGCCTGGCCCTGCCGATCCAACCCGTCACGGTCCGCCCGACCCGACCCGACTTGACCTGTTGGGGTCCGCCCGGCCCGACCCGACCGGACCCGTTAGGGTTTGCCCAACCAGGCCCGACCCGCCCCGTTAGGGTACTCGCGTGCCAGCTCGATGATGCTCCGCACTTTTGTGAGCCGCCCGACCCGGCCCGAGCCGTTAGGCTC